CATTGCTTAACAGGCAGTATTACTGCCAGATCTTATTACCATGGTGTTTAAAACATAGACCTCATACTTTTACTTTCCGTCATTCTGAAGGTACTTCTATACCACAGCACTTGCAGCAAGTTTACCACTGTCTTGTCTGGATTACATGGTGAATAGGATAGTTCTTAAATACGTGTTAATTTATCTAAGGAAAATGACATTTTGAAAGTACATGTACTTTACAAGTATATTCTATATAGCTGCTCATAAGTGTTTAAACATACTTTATATGTTGTAGCATAGTTGAGCATGATATATCAAGTGTTTTAGTGTATTTTAGCATATCTTACAGAACCACGTATGTAGAGTATCATGTAATCCAAATGCAGTTAAAGTAGTGGAAATACAATAAGTGAAATTGTATAAAAGAGGTTTTGTTGGTAACAGAAATGTTGAATTTCAAATGTGCTGAAGAATTCCTTCAGAATTGTGGTTTAAATACATCAACATAAACCAGAAATCTCTTACAAAGGATATTAAGTACTTTACTTCATGCTTAGTTCTTTTGCCATACTAAGAAATCAGTTTGCTATATAGATTTTGAGTTTATTCATAGTATAACCCAGCAACACTGCTACACCAGCCCCCTATATCCTTTCATTCCAAATAAAAAAATACATCCTTCTACTTGTTAGGAAACATACCCTTATTGTTTCCCGAAATGGACCAAATGAGTAAATATGTTTAGCAGTTTTTTGTTGTGCTTTTGGATTTCTTTTCTAACTAAGCCCATATCCTTTAAAAAAATAAAATACTGGAAAATTTCAGTGTGGAAGGGAGGTCCGTAGTGCAATCCGCTGCTGAAAGCCAGGCTAGCATCAGAGCTAGAGCAGCTTGTTCAGGGGCTTGTCCAGGTGAGTTGTGAAAATCCCAATGGATGCATTCTGTGGTCTCCCTGGCAAGTCGCTCAAGCACCCTCATTTGCGAAGGGCTTTTTTCTTACAACAGCCTAGCTTCAACTTGTTACTATGGCCTCTTGGTCCCTCATTCTTCTTTATAACCCTCACTGTATGTAGTGGAAAACTGCTCTTAGATCCTACCTTAGCCTTCTCTCCTCCCAGCTAAAAAGACCCACAGTTTTCTCTCGCTCTCCTGGTATAACATCTGCTGCAGCCCCCTAACTGTGTTAGTGGCCCTGTGCTAAAATCTCTTCACTTTTTCTTGTACTTGGTGGGAGGGAGGAGCAAATCTAAGTAGTACCTTGATCCTCCTCTGCTATGGGTAGTACCTCTTACCCCCAGCTGTTGCTCCTGCATGGAGACTTGTTGATTTCTCAGAGCAGACTTGGTCAGTCAAGACTGAGGCAAGAAAGGTATCACTGTCATTTCATTCCCTACAATGTTAAGTTTTTTACCACTTTGAAAATACTTTTATTTGTCTTATAGTTTAAACAGAGGTGAAAGTAAACAGGGATTAATTGGGGGGGTTGGTTTTTTTTTTGGGGGGGGGGGGGGTAGCTAAAAGGGAGTCATTGTTTGTTTGTTTTCAAAGAATGCTCCATATTCAGACAGCAATAAATGCAGCATGATTTTCTTTAGCAGTTAAAGAAAATAAAATTTTCTTTAGTAGGGTTTTTGCCAAGTTGTACTTTATTTTTAACAAGATAGAAATAAATCTTACATCTGAGCCAATTTTGAAGCTCTTTAATAGATCACAGGAAGATAAGCCTTATCTTTAGAAAATCACTCAAGTAGTGTGTCTTTGACCAGTTACTTCACTTGGATTTATAACACATATTCACTAGTCAGTATCAGTCTTAGACTTTGATGAGCAGTTAAGGAATGAGTCTTTTTCCTTCATAACAGTGGCAAAATGCCCACTCAAACAGAAATGGACTTTTCCAAACAAACATCTAAAACTGTAAATTTATTTTAGAAAATGTGGTTTGTTCTGTAAGATAATGTACCTTCAGTGCTTTGGAAAGGTAAATTTAACAACATTAATACGAATGACTTATTTTACTTCCTTTTTTAATCATTGAGCAGTCAGATGTTTGTAAAAGTGACTGCTATGTAGAAGGTGTTAAGAAAATAAACTATATTTTTGTAATCATTTTCTGATATGCATGTCCAGTATGATGACCTTACCATCAAAACTGAATGTATAAGCAGAATTCATTCCTCTACAAGAATTATCTGTGTTTCACAAATGTGTAGCAACATCTTCTAGTTTGAAAAACATGTATAATTGCCACAGAAACAATCAATGTAGTGGACCAAATGTGTGACCAATGTAGACTCCTGCTTTCTAATCTCATGCTGACACAATTTAGCTTTCGTTCACTAGCTGTTGAATAACTTAATAGTACCTTCTGTACAGGCAGGTGTTGGTTGCAACAGGTGATGTTCTACAAAGTACAAGTGCTGAGATCTGCTAGAAGGCTGACCGTTCTCCAGCAGCTGGAGGATTGGTTTAGGCCAAATTTATTTGAACAGTAGCCCAAAGGAAAAACAAAACACTGCTCAAGCAATATGAATCATTTGTACCAGTTTGCCCCATAAGTCTGACCCAGCAAAGTCTTGGCACTGCAAACAGTAAAAGAGCTCATTTCACAAAACTCACTGAATTAACTGCTGTGTCTTAGAGCTGGTTGAAAGTTACTTTTATAAAAGGAAAAAAAAACTTTCATGGAGGTAGGCATTTATCATCCCTCCACACAACCTTCCTACTCTGCACCGCTAACTTATTAATTAGTTATCAGCATAACTGTCAAATAAGTAGATAGAAATATTAAAAAAAGTGGGATTTTGGCAGTTGTATAACACTTTATTAAAAAGGTACTCTCTCGTGTAATAGAGTCATTCCCATGCTAAATCTGTTGTATTACTACTTATTTTTCGCAATTAAATATATAGTACTGCTCAACTTCTATCCTTTCTTGTTTCATATTACAAGAACCAGTGTAGCAAGACTATGAAATAGGTGAAGCCAAAATAATTCTCTCACACACACACACACAAAAATCATTTCATGTTCGTTTCTGCTCCTCGCTGTTTCCTGAAATCACAGAATCCTTGCTAAGGGCTCCTACAGCCATCTTCCATGAAAGCAGGTGCAGAGGAGGGAGAAGGGGGGACAACCAAAATAAGATACTTACAAAGAAGAGGAATGTCACTGTGTACTTATACATGTTATTGCAGGATTCTGATTTATAGCAGGATAATGGTTGTGGTTTTAATTGCACTCCTGCTTGCTTATTCCTGCTCTTTAGAATAAATCTTAACAAACATAGTCATGCAAAAATATACATGTGCACATGCTTACAAATATATGCACATATACAAATGTGCACAAATTGTCTGCATTTTTTCTGCAAAAATAGAGCACCTAGCAGATAGAAGCAGGCTTAACAACTGCACTTATTCCTAATGTTGCCTTATAACTGCCATCATAAAATTCCACATTCAGTTTGTTGTGATGTAACTCATCCAAAACCTTCCCTTTTTCTGCTTTGCCACAGCTTAAATTTTAAGGAATGTTTTTGTCAAAGCAATTAAAAGCATGAGATGGGATCTCCACGTGATCTTTTGTTTGGAAAGTTTGAAACATTAATTTAATAGTTGGCCTAGGGAGGCCTTTGCATCAGGTTTGACGATTTGTGGGCTTTTAGGTCACCATTTATTTAAAAAAACAAGCTAACTTGCCAAGTTTGGTCAAATTGCGAGCCTTATAAAGTTGTCATTTGCATGAACTCGGGAGAGAATTTGTAGCAGTTGATCTTCCAGAGAGTCCTCCTCTCACAGCTGGCAAATTTCAGTGTATGAAGATGAGGATTTGAAGCTTTGTGCTGCTGCGGGTCAGGGTGGATTTTGGTGCCATCATCAGAGCTGAGCATACAGGTGCTGTCCCAGTGAGCTCCTTATAACCTCTATTCCTGGGCTTAGGCTGCTTGTTGAAAGAAATTGAATTGTTTGCTGTACCATATACAAGGCATACCTAGAAAGCAGCAGCACCAGAAGTCGTCAGATACTCTTCATGTTTGCATGTGAAAAGGCTAGGGAAGAGAATTTTAGCCCTTCTGCAATATAATCAGCAACTTTGCTTTATCTGCAGCTGTCTGCCTCTTACCCACCTGATAAAGAGGTTATAAAAACATTTAAGGTATTAAAAATTAAATGAGTATTTTTCCTTAAAGAGGAAGTGTAGGTAGTCCTCTTGTTCATGCCTGGCATAGGGATATTGGAATGATCTGGGCAACAGATGTTATAAACTGAAAGTAGGTTGAAGATCTTAAATGTGGAAGATACATGTGGAATTTTTAAAAAACTATATGCAAACCAATGTGTGAAAACTTCTAGAGCTTGGTTGGAGTTGGCAAGTGTGTAAAATGTATCCAGGTGCTAAAATAATATAGGAAATATGGCAAATCTAAAAGAAGACTGGGTCCCGTGTTAAACCATTTTGGACTTGCAGAGCTCAGAATTAAATTTCTAGAAGTTTCTAGTGACTCTAATACCCATGAGCACTGTATCTCAACTACCAGCTATAAAGTGGATATGCTAACACTGTTTACCTCTTAGAAGTCTAATGGAACGGTTCTGATACATTGTGTGCGAGTTCTTTTTTGTCTGAGTACAACAGGAGGTCTCCGTCCATGATCGGGGGCACCAGTAGCGGTATAATCATACAAGGGCAAGTGCAGGTACATAGAATTTACCCACCTCATTTGGGCAGCAATGCATTCTTTCACTCATAGTATATACAGAGTGAGTGCATTATTTTATTTTTCTGAACACTAGAAAATAACCATAGTTCAGCTGGTTTCTAAACTGAAGGCTTGAATAGCAAGTATTTCTATAAAAGTTACAGGAAAATCACTAAACCTAATGGGATCTCAGGTTTGTTTGGGATACTGAGGTGCTACATGAGTGATTGCTTATAATCATTGCGTAAGTAATACATTGCTATTACGTTGGTATTTGAAAAAAAATATTTATTTCTTTTTTTTCCTCTCCATCTAGGAATTGCTGATATTTTTACAAAATTTGCCCACAGTACACTGGGGAAATGAAGAAATTAGTGTACTCCTAGCAGAGGCCTACAGATTGAAGTTTGCATTTGCGGATGCCCCCAATCATTACAAGAAATGAATATGAAGAGCCAGAAATCATTAAGACCAACGTGTTCTGCAGTATTATGGCATCTGTTGTTCTGGTTGTGCTTTCAGCTCATTGCTCTTTCATTTGAATTAACATGACCATTAAAATTCTGTTAGAATTTGCAGAATGAGAACAGAATACCAAAGAAATGGACAAAGCAGGATATCGAGCATTGAATGAACTTGGAAGTGAACTTTTTTGCTTAGCGTGAAAAATGAGTTCAGAAGTCTATCACATAGTTTTCTTCTTTTTTCCCCTTCTCTAATTAGGAGCATTGCAGTCTGTCTGATTTATGTCGAGCAATTTTTGCATGTACCTAAGACTTAAAACTACTTATGGAATGATTTTGTCATTTCTTCAGTGTCTTTACTTCATGACTTTATCAGCCAGTTTTGGTCAGTAGAAGTTATTTACTTTCAGTGGAAAAAAAGTACTTTTCATAGTCGTAAAGACCGTATGAGACAGCAAGGCCTGTGTTTTGAGGTCTGGTTATAACTCAGAAGACACTGATATTCGCACACCATCTGTTGTTTTTCCATGGAATTAGGTTAGAATACTTCAATAATATAAGAATATAGAAGGTTGCAATGGAAATTGGTGGCTTTTTCTAAACATTACTCAGTCTTGCAGGGTTCTGTAGAAGCTTTTTAGCCATACAAAGGAGTTACTTAAAGCCGAAGACTCATCTATAACACTAAAATAAATCCCTCTCTATATATTTTGGAGTGTTTTTAAAATACTGAATGAAATAGAAGACATGGTCTTGTCAAAATAATTAAAGTCTTTCTTTCAAGGCCTTTCAATTTTTCAGCATGAAAGTTCACTTTTAAGAAACATATTAAGAAGCTTGGTTTACAAAGCAAGATATATTTTTATCTCAGTTGTTGCCTTATTCTCCATTTCCAGCATGTTAGAAAAGGAAAATTAATGTATCATTCCAAAGCTTATTTGTTAAATAATTTAATACCTTTTTTCTGATTATTCAGAGGAAGCGAGAAGATAGTTCCCAATAACGCTAACTATATACTCAGATCACTCTTGCATCATTAGCAGAATAAAAATCCTCTATGACTTTATAGAATGAAATTAATGTTTCTTCATCTAATCAAGGGATACTGAATAATTTCTTAAAACTTATGTAATTTAAGTGTGCTATTTATTTTCAAGACATCTTTTCAGATAAGAATTATGATGTTGCTCTATCAGATGTAAATAACTCATATTAATTTGTGCCTACCCTACACAATACAGGTTATTAAGGGTGAAAGTTGCAATAAGCAATATACTAGAAGCTCAGAACTGTTATTCCTCAGTTCAGTTCTCAAGTTGCACAACATTGCACGAAAAATGTAGTGCACTTTTAAGTTTGGGAAATAAAAGATCTTCAAGAGGTTTTGTCTTATGACTTGTTATTGGAAGATTATTTTCAAGTTCTTAAAAATACGTGGATACATATTTTGAGGAAAGCTTTCTAGATGTGTTAGTTACATTACTTGTTTTAGGGGCCTTAGCTCTTGACACTGACTTTATAATAATTAGGTGTTTCAGGGTAAATAGAATAAAATACATTTTTGCCAACGTGATTATGAGATCCGTATTTTAAAATTATATAAACTCTTTGGTAGAAGGGAAAAAAATGAATTAATTCAGAAGCAGGAGTGTTTGGTGACTAGGATGCTTTTCTGTTCCACTGGTGTCAGCTGGGGGTTTCAGTTGCAATGGATACAAATTCAGGCCTCCTAGATTGCTGCAGTTGTGCCTAGAGTGTGTAGTGGATCTGTGTTTCTTAAATGTCCATATACTGTTTTCTGTAACTTCAGTTCATGGTCTAATGTATCGAAATTTATCTTCATGTTTACAAAGAATGTCATATTGTGCCTAATAGAATATCTACCAATAAGAGAACAAAAGAAACCTGAAATTTATGACCGTTTGCTTTAAACTTAGTATCTACAATCATTTGTTAATAGAAATGCATATTGTAACGAGAGAAGACACACAGCATTAAATGTACAATGTTGTAAGGGTTTTCTATAATTAACTTTTTTCTATTAAGATGTTATTTAGGTAGTTACATGTAACATGGAAAGTTGACCCAAAGTTGTCTGCTGTGTCAGATGCTCCTGCATAACATTTATGGGACTGGATATATAAAATTCCCTTTGTCGGGTCCACGTAAGTTGTCTGCCATGTCTTCCAAATTCAACAGGTACCTCTTACTTCCCTTGGAAGAAAGTATTACCATTGGAGGTCACATTTACTATTGTGTCTGTGTCAGAAGTTGAATATTGTACTTGAGCACATTGCTTTTTAAGGATAGTGGGAAGTTTCCTAATATAATAACAATGCTTATTTATGTAGATAGAGACTTTTCTGGAAAATATGATCTAGTGATGATCTAGATGATCACATCAATATGATCCTATACAGATAGGAATAGTTTTCAGTAAATAGAAGGCCAACATTTATATAAAATTTCAAATTTTCAATACTTTAAGATTTACATAAAATATTTCATTTTATTAAAAAAAAACCCAACACCTTACATTTAACAATTCTACATCTCAGGTAAAATGTCATTCCAAACAAAATATTATGTAGAAAAGGAAATAACGTTATCATTACTACATCCCATGTACTTTTTTTTTTTTTTCCAAAATTCAAGATTCTGGATATTACAAAATTCCCTTGTAATATGTATTTTCTTATGAAGGAGGCATCTTGACACATCGCTAGTAAAACCAGGCAGTAATTTACTAGAACTCATGTGAAATATTGAAATTGTAGTGTCTAAAATGCGTGTTAAAGAACTTCTGTAATAAAAATTTAAACAAGAATGTACAATATAAAAAGATTTATGTCTACAGTATTTGAAAAATGTAAATAATAAACAAAGTTATGTAAATACAGAACATAGAGTAGGATAGAAATATAAGTTGAAATCTTATGTAACTCTGTAATATGTTATATTTAGTTTCATTATTTTTTGGCTCAGTTCCTTATGGAAAGGCCCATGAATTTGTTTTTAACTTCAGAACTACAGAATAGAAGTATCTGAAGTTCCATTGTATGCTTCTGGCAAATATTAACACTGAGGCACTGGTTAAAACTGTAAAACTGATGAAAGATGAGGAAATAAATGCATATTTATGAAGTGCTATATAGAGTGGAAAGCTTTTTTTTTATTGTTTTCATCAAGCACATTGCATACTACATCAAAGCATGTTTTGGTGTGTTTACGTTCTACGGTCTCAAAACCCTGTATCACAAAGGCAAATGCGGTAGCAAAACCTCTGTTCTCAGTTACGTTTCTGCAACTCTCTACCCTAGTATCTTGTAGATTTTGCAAGTTGATAAGACAGACAACTTCCAAAGGTATGTCTCTGCATATATCATATACATACAAGGTACCGAGCATTTTCTGCAAGAAGGAGATGCAGATAAATTTGACAGCACAGCAGAATTAAACCAGGGGGCAGGTGGAGCAAATTAGGGCAAAGCAAACAAAGGTGGTACAGAATTCTGTACGTCCCTGGAGGTGAGGAAGGAGAGGAAGCCTCAGCTCTGTGGAGGGAAACAGCAAAAGGTAGTGAAAGGGTCAATAAAATCTGGAAACTTAAGGATGATTTAAGTAGATTAACAAGCAAGGAGAGATGTCTTGTACATATGGGAAGCTCAAGTCCCTTATGTCAAGGAAGCTAGTGGGAGACTTCCAATAGTCCAGATGAGTCTGGTGACAAAAATATACTAGCCTGGTTATACGGAAGGCAAAGTTAATGACTTCTCTGTTTAAAGCTACACACAGCATTCAGGGGAAAAGAGACATAGGGGTGCAATGGGCAATCTTTCTGTTACGTGCTTGAGTGACGATGAATTGTAATCATGCTGGTTTCTCACCTTGAATGAAATCTGTGTTTCTTCATCTGCTGTAATCTTCTGAAGATCCTGCAGAAAATCAGCAAGGGGAGATTTTTCAAATTACTTTTTCAAAAGCAGAAGAGATCAAGAAGGTGGAGTAAAGGTCCCGAGGTCTCACAAGGAATGTGCTGAGAGACATAGCTGAAAGCTATTTGTTGATTTTCTTGTACAAAAGCAGTTCTGGATATCTATCTTATGTCCTGGGCAGATATCCCACAGATATACAAATGTGAAGTGCAACAGAAAGGACTTTCCAGAAATCTGATCTGCACTTCAGGTCACTTCCTCCTTGAAAAGAGAATGGGGAGGAAGGTAAGTGCTTTGTAATGCTTTAAATTCTTTGGAGATGGGAAAAGGAGGCGAGGTGGAAAAGCTCCCGGTCCAGCAATCACTCAGGCAGAATGCTGTGCCATGGGAAAGAACTCCAGCTCTACTGCTTCTAATCACTGTATGATGGAGGGTGAAGTTCCTGAGCAATTTAATTCCAGATCATTTGCATTTTTATAAGTTAAAGCTAAAATCTTGCATCCATCTAATTCCTTAAGCTTAGTGTAGCTGAGGCAGCACTGGAGTAAATAATTAAATTGCTATGGCACCATATCAAAGAACCTTTTAACACTTCAAAGTCTTCTGTACATACCCCACATTTGAGTCAAGACGTGCCAGAAATGAGAGTTTGAGAGAGATGCGATACTACAGAAAGCCTCTCAGAGACAGGTGCTCTGAAACTTAGGCTTTTTTTGGCCAAAAGAATTTCCTACAAGCTTCCAAATGAGAATTAATGTGCACAGTCAGTAAAGCATAGTTGTTTGAACTGGACTTCCACATTTATGCTTGTGATCAAGCTTCCTCAACATAGAAAATTAAAGTCTGAATTTGCCACCAGTACGTGCGGAGATCCTTGGAAACTTATGCTCCAGGCACAAGCTTAAAAGTCTGAACTACAGTACAGGTGTTCATTTTGTTCCTAACACGGAATTATCTAGAAATGTAAGTACGAAAGAGCCAAAGTTTCTAGCAGAAGTCTACTGCAATATCCATTGGTTATATCAGATTAATCAAGATTTAGTGTATATATTTGCTTTGATTTTTCTGTTACGTATCTTTCACAACTGAGATTTCATTTCTGTGAGGTCTGGATTTTGGGGCCCAATCCACTTTCTTCCCGAAATTATCACTTACCTGTGCCTACTCAGAGATCCTCCTCATGGGAAGAAGACCATTCTGAATTTCAGAGCAATAGAAGAAAAAAGAAACCAAACAGGGAAAACAGAAGAGTTTTATTCCCATTAATTTCTGATTTCCAGAAAGGATGAGGAAATGCACCTCTTGGGGTATTTGGACAACTTCATCCTCAAACTCAGGATGCAGACTCTGACACAGAGCTTTTTGAAATTCAGGTTATTTATTTTCAAGTATTTTCATCTTCCTCCAGAAAGAACTGAGATTTCCAGTGAACAATTCCTGCTACCAGCCCATCTGATCAATTCTGTTCACTCTTTTAGCAGCAGCAGAAATACAAAATACGTAGCTGTCATGACAGCTCCCAGGAGGTAACAAGATGCCCAGGCTTATCAATAGTTAGATGGCTATCTCACTCATAGAATGTCATTTTAACAGCTAAGGCAACTCAACAAACTTGGCAATTTTTCATCACTTTTGGTCTAAAAATAAGTCAGTAACTCCAGCTCAAAGCAGTGCTTGTAGAAGCACTTTTAGACCATAGTTAACAATAGGCTATATATCTGGAGAAAAAAAAATTAGTCCTATACCTACCTGATCAAGTAAAAATGTATCCTAAGACATCAATGAGTATTTGCTGCAACCTTATAGAATATATTATCTCATGCAAATAAATAATTCAGCTTTTGCATGCAGGAATGAATAAAGTTGGCATATCAGTAAAGAAAAGGTTTTGTTGTTATATTTTTTCCCAGATATTTTACCATTATTTCACCAGTGGAAAATTTTATGTAAGTTTGAAAAAGGAGTACATTTCTCTCCATCGCTGTCATCAAAATACTGGGTGGCAGACATCTTCACGTTCAGGTGAAGCAGCCATTACATTCTCAATACAGAGTCTACTCAAGAAACTTCATGTGAATGTTTCGATGGTAAGGGCCAGCCTGTTGTTGAATGTGCAGTTACCCTCTGGGATGTAAAAGTTGTGATAATTCAAATCATGCTGGCTAATACTATTTCTGTTATCCACAAAAGAATAAGAAGAAAAAAGTCTATCTTTCCCCATCCAAGGACACCTTTTTGTTTGTGGAGACTTGTACTCATTATGGAAACGCTCTGAAAATAATATCAAATATGCTGTCAGACCAATTCAAGTTAAAAGCAATTGTAGCCAGCAAAGGATATCCAAATCCAACAAGCACGCCCCAAGAAAAGTAGTAAGCACAAAATAATTGGCCTGACATGGGGGATGTCTGTGGACAACATAAGAGTTAGTGTTGGTTAAGTAGTCACTTTGTTATATTTATGCAAGTTATTATCTCCCCAGTTTTACAGCATGTCAGCAATGTAGACGTCTACATCTGAGCTTGGCACACGCTCCTTTTGTAGTTGACAGAGGGAAACAGGTCCTTCCAGGTGCCATCGCCTCTGCCTCTGAGTAAACCTCTGCCAAGTGAGTGGCACCCAAAAAGTTTCTCTCTCTCTCCACTGGCACTAAAGGAGTCTGGGGGACAAGCCCATAGCTAGATGTCAGCATTGTCGTTTTCATATTTTGAAGTGGCTGCTAGCAATTTTAATTTGAAACAGCATTTCTGTGCATACATTAGAAAGAATCATAAAATCTCTCAGATGCGTTTTTAAAATGCACACTTGAAGTTCCAGTTCTATGTTCACGTGGCCCAAATAAGCTATAATCTGAAGGACACATTGACTTGTTTGTTGCAGCTACTGTACTGTAACATCAACCTTACTTAGCTATGCTTTAAAT